TTGATACCAGCTCTGTCCTCTGGGTTGTTCCAGAGTAAAAGGGGTAAAGCTTTTGAGGTGTTGAGTGGTTGCCACCCTAAAAAGGGACGGTGGGGGTGAGAGGTTTCACCTTTCACCGACCCTAAGATCACATCCTCATCCTGTCCAGATCCATAGGCACCTTTTGTTCTGCTTTCCAGCACTGTGAGTCGGCTGCACAGCGCTGTCCCCTCATGGCAGGGCAAGAAAAGAGCTGTGAGTGGGTAGTTGAAAAGCTGGGGAATTGGCAGAAGCACATATTTCCTGTAAGTGTTAGCTGGAGAAGAGAATATGTTCAGTGGAGCTGTAAGGTAAGCTCAGAGCTGGTGAGGGACATCAGACTGAGATCCAGTGCAGCTGAGAAGTGGCGGGAAAACAAGCCGTTAATCAGTGCCAAACCTGGGTCAAACAATTTTCCCAGCTTGCTCCATGGGACAAGCCCCTGCAACACCAGAGTCATCAGGGACAATTCGCAGAATGCTCTTCAATTAACTCCTGCCAACATCCAGATCATTAATTAAAGCCTCTCCATTTAAAACCTCTATTTTAGCTCTGCTTGTGGTATTCCAGGTGTGTGCTCCTTTAAAATGATAGCCAAAGGAAAGCTGTAAATTCACAGCCATCTTTCCTGTGCTCATACCAAGAAGGAACCTCTCCAGAAGCCTGTCACTAAGCTGGGAAAAATCTGTATTCTGGAAGCGCTGAGCTGAGGTGCGTGTGCTACAGGGGAGGCAGTTTGTCAGGGGAGCTGCTCCCTTCGTGGAGCTGCTTGGAGCTGATGAGCTGCTCTGCTGCGGGAGTGGTCCCACGCAAGTGCATTAATCTTCCTGAGAGAAGCCTGCCAGGTGCTGCCGGAGCTGCCGAGAAGCTCCACCTGCTGACCGATCCTGCGAGCTGGAGACAGGCAAATGGCTGGGAAATGGGGCTGGGCTGGGATTGATACACGGACTGCCAGCCTGGATGTGCAGGTGTGGAGGGGATAGCCCGAAGCAGGAGGAAGTGTTGACTGTTGGAGTGAAGATCTATTTGAGCTTAGAATAGAATTAGCAATAGAATCAGTAAGTGAGGGGGCTGTAATTGTCTTTTCTGTAGCTTTTCTTCAGCAAAGCCTCGTGCAGACCCTAAGGAGGCACTCTGCTGCTTGGGATCGGTCCCAGGGAGTCCCCAGAGGGCTCTGGAACAGCAGAGCTTTGCTGTTGGCACTGGGGAGAGCCTTGCCCACACATTCCCCTTTTCGTTGCTCATATTAAATCCACTCAACCACAAAGAGCTTAACCTTGATCACGGCAGTTATTTACAGAGGGAACATTGCTGCGAGCCAACCGTCGTTATGTCTTCCTGGGAGACCTTGAGCTCTAGGTGTATCTCTCCAAATACCTGCAGTGACCTGCAGAACAAGGAAGAAAGGGTTTAATAAACATTTCCAGAGCTCTGTGTGTGCTTTCACAGAAAATCCTACACAAAGAGAGACTCCTGTGCTTGTTCTGGAAGTGGGCCATGGTCCAAAGTCCTTTGTGGGAGCACAATGAGCCTGTGCCTCTGTGCTGAGGAGGGATTGTTGCTCCATCTGCCACCTGGAGTGGCGTACCTGGTGTAGCAGAAGGGTTGCATCTGTCAGCACCTGTGAAGTGTTTGGGGTTGTGCACAGTTAGGGGCAGGCAGTGGGTGTAGCTGCTGACCACACTTGGTCCTTCTCCAAAACCGTCTCCCCAGTTTGTCCTGCCTGCTTCGAATCCAAGGAGTTCCTTGTGGCTGGGCATTACACTTATGTTCAGCAGTCACCCACTTGGTTTCCTTTGGAGACCATGAAGTTGCTGGCCTTTGCTGATGATTATTGCCCTTTGGGGCAGCAATCAAAACATCTTTCCCTTACTGCTGCTTTTGTGGTTTGGACGTAACCAGCACTAACAGTGAGTGAGGGGTAACTAGAGTTAAAGCACCTCTTACATTTCCCCTTGTTGTCTCCTTCCAAGCAGGCCTGGAGAGCACTGAGAGGCAACATTATTTTCACCGAGCCTGTGGAATGAAACTTAGGTTGTGTGAGGCTATGAGAGAAGGAGCAGCCTGCTCCCATACAAAAAGTGTCTGTAGCATCTGTAGGCTCTCAAAGTGCCTTGGGTGTTCTGGTTCCACTGGAGAGCAGTATTTTTCTACATTTCTCATCTGTAATTCCTGGGATGGAAATGATGCTTCTGCTAGAATGCAGGAGCGTGGTCATTTCTGGTAGCATATTCAGTGACCCCAGAGGACTTAGTTGCTTTTGTGCCTGAAGAAGTTCTATTCTCGAAGAGATCCTTCTCCTAAAGTAGGAATGTTGTGTAAAGCATCAGGTTTTCCACAAAAATCGAAGCTCTGACTCAGATTAATTAAAACAAACAAACAAACAAAACTATTTGGAAGTGCACATGCAAGGGTCTGTTTCCCCTTCCAGAGTACTTCAATGAAAATTGGATGTCTGATTAATCTTATCCTGATTCTCTTCTTTTTTTTTTTTTTTTTTTTTTTTTTTTTTTTCTCCCTTAATGGTCTCGCTTCTGTGAATAACTGGCAGTG